TAATGGCAAACAGGTAAATAATATTTTGTGGAAGAGACAGCCTGCTGGTAGAACTGTTGCTGAAGCATTATGAAGAGTTTATTTTAATAATCAATCCATTATATTTTATGCTTGTATCTTATATATGAGAAACTTCCCAAAGATATCTCCGAACGGCATGTACTGCTTCTGGATCCAGTTCTTGCTACAGGTAAAATCCATTTGTTGATTCCCCGAAGTTTTCTAGTTCTTTCCCAAATCTGATGTCTGCCCTTGTCCATTATTGCAAGAACAGGCTAACGGAGTGTGAGTAAACCTAAGAAGCCTTTACCTGTACTTCTCCTTGGTTAATAAATAAATTGCTGGAGTAGAAAAATGGAAAAAAATATACAAAAAAACAAAAACAAAAAAACAGAAAACAAAAACAGATGGTAAATGTTATAAACCTTTCTAGATTCAATCATCTATGCTAAATATTGAAAAAACCTACATTGATGGCTTTTCTTGCAGGGAGCTCTGCCAACCAAGCAATTCAACTACTGATACAGAAAGGTGTTCCAGAATCCCACATTATATTCCTGAACTTGATATCCGTGAGTGTTTTTTCGATGATTTCAACCTCCCCATTTCCCCAGTATTTTCCTTTCTCATCTCCAAATTCTACCAGACTATGCTTATCTTCTGTTTTGTTTTACGTTAGGCCCCTGAGGGAATCCATTGTGTTTGCAAACGTTTCCCATACTTGAAAATCGTCACTTCGGAAATTGATGTTGCATTGAACGAAGAGTTCCGAGTCATCCCAGGTATGGGTGAGTTCGGAGATCGTTACTTTGGCACTGATGACTGATCCATTGCTTGCAAGTACAGATTGTTAGTGGTATTTGTTTCATGACACTCTGAAAACAAATGTGGTATTGATTTTTACCCGTGTACGCCACCTGCTACCCGCTAAGTGCCTGGTCGCATCAAATATTACAACATAATTCGAGTCCACTAGATGAATTTCAAGTCCTTGAATACCTCCATGTTTGATCGAATGCTTCTTTCTTTCAAGGGTGCAGAATATGAATAATATTGTCGATACATCAATCAATTCTGCTGATTATTTAGACTTTTCTTGCCGAGAATTGAATTAACTTTGCCACTAAACTAATTTTTTTTTTTCTCTAGAAGTGAAAGTATTCGAGGTTGGTTGTACATTCTATTATTAGATTATTTCATGTTACAAAATCCAACACGAGATCTGTCCTC